GAGAGGGTACGGCCGTGAAAGGTCGAGATGATACTAGGGGAGGACACCCTGCGTGAATAAGCGGTGGGATCGGGCCTACGCGGGGGCCTCGACACTAAGAGGAGAACGRTGCGGGCCTAGGGCTCGGAGMTGGGCCTCCCGGCCTAGAGTTTTGGGYAGGCCSGCGTGACTTTTACAAGGGGGACTGGWACCACTTATGAGTGSGGACCACCAAGGCCGAGATAGRCCCKGGGCAGGTTCGRAAATWGGTYCGGTACMGGGGCRCTGCAAAAGGCCCGGTTCCCGRCAAAWAGGCCCCMCTCGACAAAAACTTTTCGGGGGCCCAAACGGGCAGAGTACCGGAGGCGCTGCAGCTKGTGACGGCCTCCGGAGGGAGAGGCTTGGGCCMTGCAAAGCTTAAAAGCCGAACAGGGCCTTGAGYAGACACTTCGGGCCGCCGCGAACTGGGGACACGCACGGAGCACCCGCACGTGTGGGACGCTCMRGACACTTCTGGGGGCGAGGACAGACGCACGGGACACGAGGGGCACGGGCRGCTGGCRCRCACGTACGGGAGACACGCCCAAGGGCGAACAGGGAGCTTTCAGAAGACGACGAGGAGGCATCTACGGACACGCGAGGACACGTGCGGGGCTGCGCACGGTCACTCTTGCACCTACAAGCGTGCGTGCACAGGCGCGTGGCTGCGCAAGGAGTTGTACACGGTCACCCTTGCACCTATGGACACGCACCCACAAGCGCGCAACTGCGCACGGTCACCCTTGCACCTACGGGCGTGCGCGCACAGGTGCGTGGCTGCGCACGGAGCTCAACCGGTCACCCTTGCACCCACGGACACGCACGGACGGGCGTGCAACGGCGTACTGCCACCCTCCCACCAGCGCACACGCGAGCACGGACGTGCAACTGCAAGCACCCTGCGCGCGTGCGGGTACTAACGAGAAAACAAGCGCGTACCCGTGCGCACAACCGTGCACTGCGGGGACGGACGGGCAAGCTCCGCTGGCCACAGCGCGTACACAACTGCGCACCTGCGAGAGCGAGGGGAAAACGTCGCGCGCACACTCGCGCACAAGAAGGAAGCCGCGGGGAGGAAGTCGAGCGCGCTAGCGCGCACTTGCGTACGGTGAAAGAGAGCGTGGGGCACTGCGCGCGACAGCAGCGCACCCTGGGCACAAAGCGCACGTGACAGTGTGCACACGCCAAGCGTTCCGCGCGTTGGCAGGAGCGGACGAGTAAGCACCGTGCGCGAAAGGCCGCGCACACTTCCGCGGTGTATGCGCACACAGTTCAGGACATCTGCGCACACTAGCAGACATCTGCGAGCGGGGGGGAGAAGGAGCACCGGAACCACCGCGCACTAGCGCGCAAGCGGGGACAGGCGGGAAAGAGCCGCGCTCGGGAGAGCACACACCTGCGCACCACGCGCAAGGAGGGACACGGGAGATGGAGCCTCGTACGGGAGTGTACCCGTATGCACTCAAGCGCAAGCAGAGGTAGCCCTAGGGAGGCGCATGCTGGTGCGTGGACAACGGGACACGTGGAAAGTTGTGTGCGCGAATGCGCGTTGGGCACTGGGAATCAGGGTAGCAGGAGAGGGTAGCGAATCCACGAGCGCACTCGCAGCCGCGCGACATAGCGGCGAGATCAGTGAGCCTTCAAGGACACCCAGCATACGCCGAGAGCCGACGGGATCACGTAGGCGGGAAAGGGAAACCAAGCATTAAGGACGACTTCAAGGTGGCTCCTTTGGGGCGCTCAGGGCGGAACAGCCGAACAAGTCCTCACCGGGTGCAGCCTCGACGCTAACGAAGTTGAACGTCCAGCACGGGCCGACCATTGGAGAAGTGAGAGGGCTCTTCGGGCGCAGCAGAATTACTATGCGAGCCGACTCTTTGGGACGCTGGACCGAACAAGTCCTTTGAGCACAGTTGACACGTTGGACTGGGCGGGGCTCTCCGACGCAGAAGGTTCATCAAGCAAGATAGCTCCTTTGCCTGCAGACGGGTCAGCGAACGAGGCCTTCGGTTACAGTTGGGACATCAGATTGGACACGGCTGTTGGTCACAGTAGGAGCATCGCACCGAGTGGGTTTTGAGGGGAGTGCGAGATACCGGAGGGATCGAGTTTCATGGGGAGACTATAGGGACACTTGTCAGCAGGGCTCCACGAAGATC